AAGCAATAGATTTCTTGCTTCTGCCACAAATTCCCCCAGCTGTGAGCCTTCCAACCTTCTAAATATTCCTTTATATGTGGTTCAGAGTTCTGGGACCAGCCCCTGAGCCTGCTTGGTCAGGTACTGTGTTGTTGTTGGCGGAGCTCCTTTATTGCACTTCCACCAGATCTGCCATCTTGTTTGTTCTCCTATTTATTTGTTTTTGTAATGTTTGATAGTGTATATATGCCATTTATTAGAGCCCCTAAGTTTGTTCCTATTTTTTCATTGACAATCTTTATAGTTCTAGGTTTTACATTTTAGGTTTTTAATCCATGTTGAGTTTGTTTTTGTATGTGGTGTGAGATATCCGTCTTCATTCTTCTGCAAATGGATTTCTAATTTCACCAGCATCATTTGTTGAAGAAACTATCTTTTCCCCATTTATTGTGTTTGGCTGTTTGTCAAAGATAAGTTGACTGTATGTGGATGGATTTACTTCTGGGTTCCGAATTCTGTTCCATTGATCTATGTATCTATCTTTGTACCAATACCAGGCTGTTTTGACCACTGCAGCTGTGTAGTAAAGTTTGAAGTCAGGGAGTGAGAGGCCCCCAGCTTTGTTCTTCTTTAACATTTCTTATAGTGCAGGTCTAATGATCACAAACTCCCTCAGCTTCTATCATCATTTTTTTTTTTTTTTTTGCTGAATAGAGTTCCTTGTTCACAGTTCTTTCAGAATTTGAAATATATCACTCACTGCCTCCCGACCTCCAAGTTTTCTAAGAAATCAGCATTTAGTTTTATGTCCTTTGTATATGTCCTTCTCTTGCAGCTTTCAGGAGTCTGTTTACCTGTGGTTTGAGAGACTGATAATAATGTCTCTTGTGGATCTCTTGGGCTGTATCCTACTTGGAGTTTATGGAGCTACTTGTAAGTGTAGATTCCTGTCTGTATGAACTTAGGGTAATTTTCTGCCATGATTTTCCCCCATATTTTCAGTCCCTTTCTCCATCCTCCTGGGGATCCTATGATGTATATACTAATTTTCTTGGTGTTTTCTCACAATTCTATTTGGCTTCACTGAGTGTTCTAGATCCTTTTCTCTTTTAACTTTTCAGACTCAGTTTCAACTGCCTTATGCTCCAATGTTCTGATTATTTTGAAAGTTTAAATCTGCTGCTGATTCTCTCAATTTTTTTTCCATTTTATTGTATTTGTCACCTACAGAGTTTGTGTGACTCCTTTAATTTTTCTTTAGAATCTACAGAGCAAAATGTACACCAGTTCGAGTTTTACCATGTGCAGTTCAGCAACATTGATGATATTGAGTTGTGTAGCCATTCCCAGACACCTTTTCTGAGCTCTTCCTTGGGATTCATATAAATTCACCGTCCTTCTAAAGTTCCAATCTAATCTTTTTAGTTGCTGTTGCCAATTTGATTCTTAAAAGAATATGATGCTCAAGGCATATGTTTTTCTTTCTTAACTAGGTAAGCTAAACTATCATTTAGTTTGGAAGAAGTGTTTGGTTCCATTTGACTACTGTCTCATTGCTATTTTCATTTTGTTCAGGTATTGTCTTTCTGATTTCCTTTAGTTCTTTGAACATATTTAATATTGTTGTTTTAAACTCTTTTAGTTTTATCTGCTATTGAGGCAATGGCAATAATTTCTCTCTCCTTGTTTTTTGACAAGGCTATCATTTCCAGTTTCTTTGTATGTCTAGTGAGCTTTTGTTTAAGCTAAAACATATGTTCAAACTTTAACAGTGTCAATTCCCCCATATATGCAGGCCTCTCAAAAGTGCTGACTTCTGCACAAGTCAAGTTTTGTTCACCTTCAAGCCTCTGATTCTGACCAGACCTAGGCTTCAGTCCTTCAGGTAGTTCCCAGACAGATGAGAACAAATATACTGAGCAGTCTTCCAGGAAAACCTTTCCTATTTACTCCAGAATCAGAGATTGGGGGCCCACTTTGTGACTTTGAAAGCAGTGAGTCACCTCTGCTACAGTGCCAGGAGGAGCAGGGTCCAGGAAGAGTATAAAAATTTTTCTGATCACTTACAACCTTCCTTTTCTTGTTTCAGTGTACAATCCAGTGAGTTTCAGCAATTTGCATACTTTTCAATGTTCTTAGAGTTGAAATGATAGATTTCAAGTTGCTTTACTTGATCAGTTCATGCCACTATTTTCTCAGAATCTGACTCTCAGATTATATTTTTTAACTGCCATTAACATTTTATTTGCCTACAACATAACTCCTTGTAAGACCCTAACTACAACAGAGTTTTAAGGCTCGTGTTCATATTATGATCTGTGTTGAGAGTAAGCCCAGATGTTTTTATATATAATGTAGAATAGAGTCATTCTCGATGATGGAGGTCAATAACTATTTAATGAATTTAATTGAGGATTGCAGTTAGGAGAGCCCCATCTTGCCCCTGACTCAGAAGAGGCAATGGGCAAGTCACCTTACCTCTTTTTATGGTCCACTTCATTACCTCTAATGCCTCTTCATGCTCCAAAATAATTACTTAAGAACTCACCAAAATATTTTGTCTTAATAAAGGATATTTATTATAAAGACATCCTAACATGCTTACATACAAAATTAACTATTTAAACACATGCCACTGGCAGTGAAAAGTAAAGGAAAAAAGTAACATAAAGACAAAATTGTTTTCAGAGAATTTTTTGTTTTCTAGACATCCCACTTCTATATACATACTTATTAGCAATGATAAGAATTTTTCTTAATCTTAGATTCAGTCACTTTTTGGAGATATTAGATCCATAATACAAAATTTGCATCAAAGTATGGATATGGATTACAGACTCCTTCACCTTTGAGAATGTAAATGTGATTGAAGATTGACATTTTCAGATGCTCCCTACAGAAATCAAGTATTCTTCTTTACCAATCATAAAGACCTGTTTTCAAATGAAAAATTTCAGAGCACATTGATTCTTACAGATACTATAATATAATTTTTAGTTAATATGAGCAAGCAATAAATCTTTACATAAGATATTAACTACCAAGAATTTAGGTTTTGCAAAGATCATAATTTTCTCATGCTAAAAAACAAAATTCTATCTTCTATGTTTTATAGTAGATGTCTGTAAAAAGTCATCTAAAATACTAATAAAGACAACTATCACTTATGGAGCACTTAGTATGTGCTATGCATCAAGCTAAGCACCTTACATACATTGTAGCATTTAAATTTGACAATAAGTCAGTTAAATGAGTAGGTATTATTCTAGTGTATAAATAAGAAACTGAGGCTTACAGAGGTTAATCAATTTGCCAACTTCAAGCAGCTAGTAAGTAGTGGAAACAGGTGATTAAGGCAAGACTGACTGTGACTCCAAAGCCAGAGTTACTGTGCTATATAGTGTATGCCATTAGTTAAAGATCCCTGATCAAAATGAGTGATTAATGATTTTATGTGTGAGACATTCACAATAGTATAATTTACATCATCAGAAAAAGAAAACAGAACAATACAAGCAGAACACAAAAAAGTCACCTTATTTTAATCTTTTTATTTACATGTATCTTTTTCCATCATCCTTATTCTAATAAGATTAAAAATACATAAACACCTGAGTACATGCAGCACATTCCACAAGGCGACAAAAATTGACAGCACTATTGAATGAAGGACCCAAGCTTTTTATACAAAGTGCTTAAAAAAAAAAGGACTTGTGGCACATTCAGACCATATTTATTTGAATATTTTCCAATAATTGCCAACAGATGCATCATTTATCAGTAACCTTCAAAGCAATCCCTAATGTCATCTATAAATCAGAACTTAGTGTTTCAGTTAATCAGTTGAATAGCAATTCCATTATGTAATATTAAAGGCAAGTCACATAGCATCAAAATGAAACCGATGAGCTTCTTGTCGTTTTTCTCTATCATCTGCTTTCTGAAAAAGAATAGATAAAAGAAAACTGTCAAGCAAAGACTAATTTCTGAAATACAAAGAGGTCAAGTTAAACAAAAGTCTTCAGCCATCAGTAGGCAATGGGTATGATTTTCTAACTGCAGTAATCACATGCAGTATTTTTATAGCTATTTTATAACTAATATTATGACAAATATTCCATTAACTAAACTTAAAAATCACAAGAAATGATGCTTAAATACTTAGACTGTTGTCATTTGTTATTTATATGAAAGTAAACATTAAATTCTATAAGAATGAAACCAAGAATTACCTTTCTTTTCTATTCTTAACACTGGTGCTACTACACCAAATATATTGTTATTAAGTGCCAGTGAGTCAGTTCTGGCTCATAGTGTCCCTGTATAGAGTTTCTGAAGAGTAGCTGGTGGGTTTGAACAGTTGCTCTCTAGTTACCAGCTACTGGTGTAGATGTTGGTGCATTCCTGGGCAAGTGGTGTCAGGTTGCTGCCCCAATCAAAACACTGCTTGCCAAAGTCTACAGGGACACACCTCTTACAATGTCAGTCTTCTCAATTCCCCATATATGCAATCCTTTCAAAAGTGTTCGTAAGTTTTTGTTCACTATTCCCTCCCCAAACCTCTAATTCCTATCAGACCTAGGCTTTAGTCAACAAATATACTGAACAGTCTGCCAGGAAAACCTTTCCTGTTTGCTTCCGAATCAGAGATCAAAACCTTGTGGTTTGCAGTCCAGTACTGATACTTGTTGTTGTTAAGTGCTGTCGAGTCGATTCCGACCCATAGTGACCCTGTACAGGGTTTCCAAGGAGCAGCTGGTGAGTTGGAACTGCCAACCTTGCAGTTCAAATGGCTTTGCAGTCTGCCGTATTAGCCCACAGCACCACACCAGGACTCCAGTACTCATACTACAACACCATAAATATCACTGATTACTTTTGGGTTAACTTTTTGATTTCATAATTATTTATTGACCTCCTACTTGTAGCAAGGTACCAAGCTTGGTATTTTGAATGATTAAAAGTAACATTCAGGACTTTTGGTAAGATGGTGGACTAATCAGAAAACTTACCCAGACATTCTATAACAAGGACACAAGAAATCAAATGAAACAGATATGGATGATAGTGCTGGAACCCTGAGTATCAAAGGAAAGGATAAAGAAGTGGACTGAATACCAAGTAGAAGAAATTGAGCAAGGGCAGTGAAGAGGGAGACAGCGTGGTGGACTGACACAGTGTGAGTGTGGCCCTTTTGATTTCTGCAAGCACTGTTTGATTGGGCTAGCAATCTGACACTACACCAGCCCAGCATTGCACCAACACCTATACCAGCAGCTGGGAACTAGAGAGCAAATGGGTCCAAACTGCCCAGCTACACCTATATCTGCTTCAGCCCTCCTCATTGGGTGAGTGCCACCAGCTGCCCCTGTACTACCTGACCAATGATAGAAGCCAACAGCAGCTTAGTCAGCCTTCAACGGCTCTACATTAACAGTGAACAGGGAACTGTTCACACACAGCCATTCTCAATCACACCTACCAGGAGACAGGTGGTAGTAACTAAGGGCTGCAAACGAACGAGCAGAGAAGCATAGCTGCCACGTTCTCACGGCTATAGCAAATCAAAACAAAGCAAATAACAACAACAAAATCCCCCCAAAATAATCAATTAAATACAAAGAAATCAGCAGCATTACACACATAGACCAAGCCCGGAAAAGAAAAGCAATAAATTCATACGTATCAAAAATTACATTAAATGCACCAGTCAAGAGACAGTAGAATGGATAAGAAAACATGATCCATCAATGTTCTATTTAGAAGAGAAATACCTTAGACACCAATACAAAATAGTCTAAAGTTCAAGATTTCCAGTGGCAATCAAAATAGACCAGGGGTGGCAATATTAGTTTCTAATAAAATAGACTTTAAAGCAAAAATCAGCATTAAATTGGTTTCCCTTGCCTACTCTTGTAAAATAGACACTTGAGTGGGATAGAAAGGAGTATCCGGAAGCATGATTACAGAAAGCCTGTAAGCCCTTCTTCAGCCTATAACTGATTGGAATACTTAAAAGGGGTTCTAGAACTTGCCCAGTGAAATAGGCTTCTTGCGGAGCCTTTGCAGTGTTTAAGACCTTAGGTGGAATCCTGAGCCTCATCCAGAGCCTTCTGAGGTGGAACACTCCCACTAGAAAGGATAAGCAGACCAGCCTGGAACAGCTAGAGTGACAGAACAGTGAACAGGGAAAAATAAAAAACAAAAATGGCAGTCTGATTGGCTACTACAAAAACAAGCAAGTTGTTTCTCCGGGAAGCCATTAAGGCAAACAAATCAAGTCCCTTTAGGACAAACTCCTCTCCAAGACTGAAACCCAAAGGGAGCACATGAACAGGCATATAAGCTTGCTGGCGACCACACTGGTCTACTGGTGAGTGGTAGAGGGGAAAGGCAGCAATGAAGATATGGGCTGAGTGTGACTACGTTCCACAGACTCCTGTTGACCAAGAGATGACAGAGAGAAGAAGAAGGGCTAGTAGGACCGAAGTGTGGTGAGACCTGGGGATTCCTAAGCCCACGTACAAGGGCACAGCCATGGAGGGCGAGAGCTGAGAGTGAAGCATCCAACTGATATGAAGTGAAGGGAGATGCACAAGAACACCCAAACTTGCAGATAGTACCCATCTGACCTAGCCTAGATGGCTTGATGATCAGAACTTGACTAGAAGAAGAGAAACAATTTTTGATAAGGAAAGAAGTATAAATTGCTACAATTTGATGAACCTACCAATACTTATGGATGTGGTGGTGGTGGTTATGTGCCGTGGAGTTGGTTCCAACTCATAGTGACCCTGTACAGGGTTTCCAAGGCTGTAAATCTTTACAGGAGCAGAAAGCCTCCTCTTTCTCCTGCGGACGAGCTGGTAGTTTCGAACTGCTGACCTTAAGGTTCGTAGCCCAATTCATAACCACTATGCTACCAGAGCTCCTTATTTATGGATGCAGTAGCTCAAAATACCAAGTGAGAGGGAAGGAGTCTTCACATGAAGTATCAATCCTATCCCCTTTGTATACAGGGTTGATAGAGATCAGCACCTTAGATATTGGCTACCTGAAATAAGGGGGCAATAAAGGCACAAAGTGACTGGCTTATAAATTTTCAAGAGGAAGTTTAGGTTAAGAGTAGACAAGGTAGAGTCCCCACTGAAGAGTTTTCATCTCGTCTTGACAGGTCTGGTGAAAAGAGATGGGGATAAGATTCTTATGATTCAACAGTGAGTAACTATTACCATGACTAATTGTTACTGTCACAACTGTAAAGTTAGAAGTTCTGTAACAAAAAGGGGGAGTAGTTAATATTATAGTCCAGGAAGAGAGGACCCTAGGACCATCAAGGGAAAAGAGCATGAGCGAAATGTGGGACCCTATTCAGAAAAGCAGTGACACCAGAGATGGAGGCAGAGATGAGGACATGGAGAAAGAGTAGCCGAGGACTCTAGATTCATGGAAAGAGAAAGACTGAGTGCTGGCAGCCAGGAGGGAGGCTTGCAGAATGTGCCCTTTGGTTGTTTAAATTATTATATGTTCCTGAGTCATTTTGTGTACATCCTTCCCTCCAAAAACAAAACCCAAAAACAGAGGGAATAGAAGCAAATACTGTTGAATGATGATGCATGGAGACTGTGATCATTGTATGAAATGATGAGTGTAAAACTGATGTTCTTCCATGTAAACTATCCACAATAAAAACTTACAAAAAAAAAAATCAGCATTAAGAGACAAGGAAGGACCTTATATAATGATTAAGGGTCAGTTGAACAAGAGGATGTAGACATAATAAATAACTATGCACCCAATGAAAAAGCCCCAATATATACAAATCAAACTTTAACAGAAATGAAAAGAGAAATAAACAACCGTACAATAATTGTTGTTACGTGTTATTGAGTTAGTTCTGAATCATAGTAACCCTGTATAGGGTTTCCAAGGAGCATCTGGTGGATTTGAACTGTCACCCTTATGGTTAGCAGTCTGTTGCTTATCCTAAAGCACCACATTGGATTCCTAAAATAATAATTGTTGTTAAGTGCTGTCAGGTTGATTTTGACTCAGCAACCCTGAATAGTGTTTCCAAGGAGTGTCTGCTGGGTATGAACCACCGACCTCGTGGTTAGCGTCCAGTGCTTATCCTACAGCGCCACACCAGGACTCTACAATAATAGTAGGAGACTTTAATATACCAATTTTGATGGACAGAACAACTACAAAGAAATTTATGAAGAATACAGAGGACCTAAAAAACAATCAACCCTCTTGACTTCACAGACATGAAGAACACTTCACCCAACAACAGCACACTCTGCATCCCCTTCCCTAACAGAACACACAGAACCGTCTCCAAAAGCAAGATATAGGCCTTAAGAAATTAGAAATCAACAATAGGAAGACTAAAGATGAAGAAATCAAAATACATGGAAACGGAATAACACCCTGCTTAAAAACTACTGGGGAAAAGAGAAACATGAAATAAAAGAAAAATACTTCTAAAATCCAATGAGAATGAAAATACAACATACCAAAATCTTTGGAACACATCAAAAGTAGTGCTCACAGGGCAACTTACAGTAATAAATGCACACATCAAATAACACAAATAAGAAAAGAAATGGATGACACCAAAACAGAAACATTAAGAAAAGAAATAAAAAGAAAATATAACAATACCCTGAAGAACTGTATTCTAATAAATGTGAAAATCTACAATAAATGAACAAATTCTAAAAATAACTGTCAACTAAAGTAACATAGACTGAGGGAGAAAATTTGAACAGACCAATTGAAAAAGAGAAATTGAACGGGTCATTAAAAAAAAATTCTCACTAACAAAAAAAGTCAGGGTCCAGACAGCTTCATGGGCAAATGTACCACATGTTCAGAGGAGAGCTGACACCAAATTTACTCAGAGTATCCCAGAACACAGAAAAAGATGGAATTCTC